TTCGGATTTGGAAGTCTCTCCACCTGGACCAGGAAACTGCCAACTTCAACATCCTCAAAACCCTTCTTCAAATTGATCACACAAAGGTTGGTTTGTTGGTTTCACTTTATTATTATGGACCATAAGAATAAAGCCAAAGATACACCAAAATGAGGTATCTCATTTGTACACCAGTCATATACAAAATTAAATGTCTATGATCACATACATTTAGTGTCCTTCTTTGCCTGGTGTACAAATGGGGTACCTCATTTTGGAGTTAAAATGTATTTAAATTATCAAACATGGTCATGTACATTATCAAAAAATATAGTAATGTGCATATGTAAAGTGTCACATTACCACATTGTGAACTCCTATTTCTGAAATAAAAACAAAGAACTCCTATTTTAGCCGTTTTTTTATGTTTTAGCCTTATTTAGGAGGGTGATTTCTATTGCATAAATATACTCTAGCTCCAAACTTTTGACTTTTGACCTAGATAGATATACTAAATTGTCCATTTTTGATGTTTTAGCTTCAAAATTGCTAAATTTTAACTACTCCTTCCCTTCCACAAAACCCTTCCGGTTTTGACGTTGGGTAAAAATAAGGAAAGTGTAATTTTGGTTGACTTTCCAATTTTGCCCCTGATGTGATGGGGAAAGGTAAGATTTGATAGTTTGGTTATTAGTGAAAAAGTATGATGTAATAGGTAGGGTATGAAAAAGTAGGGTAAAAGTGGTTTTTTAATAGAAAGTGGAAGTGTTTTGTGGAAAGCAAAAAAAAACGAAAGAGGAAGAATTTGTGGAACGGAGGGAGTATTAATTAATTAGAATTTATACAAGTATGAGATATTTATATAAGAACAATTTAATTAGATTTACCTTGGGTAATTTTTTTTAAATGTTTTTTATCTACTCCCTCCGTTCCAAAAAGAATTTCCTACTTTGATTAACGTACAAAACCCCGTGGATTTTAAAATGATTTTATTTGCAAATTGGTAAGGAAATAAGACATAAAAAAATTATATTTAAAAATTACATCGGAAACTCTACAAGATAAGAGGTGACAAGAATATTTTATTTTGTGAAATGATCAATGAAAACACGCAAACAAGTTAGAGTTATCGAGAAGTCGTAATAGTAAACAGAAAAGACTTTTTGGGACGGAAGGAGTATTAAATATACCATGTTATTTTTTTAATTTTAAGTCAAACGTGTATCTCATTGATTATAAAAATTCAAAACTGAACAAAAATACTTGGAGTAAAATACTGTTTTGTACGTCAAATGTACAATTATTCATATGTTTGAATGAAAAATAGATAAGCAAAAAAATCAACCATATAAATATGAAGGAATTGTTATTTACATTCCAATAATGACTAATGCCACTCCAACTCTTTTTTCTAGACACTAAAAGTAAGTAACAACTACATCCTTTTTGCATTGCCGTCTTCCTTCTTTCCTCTTTTCTTTTGTTTTTTTCAACTTTTCTTTCTTCATAGGTTTTTGTTGTTATTTTTCTTTCATTTAATTGAATTGTTTAATTTTCATTTTTTAATAAATATTCACACGTCCCCAAATAAACCATAGTTTCTGATTTACAATGTTTGATAAGAATTATTTTTAATTTAATTTTTTTTTGAATTTCGGAAAAAATTTTTAAAAATAAAATATAAATTTTTAAAAATTATCTAAAAATTCTATAAAATAAGAAGTCATATTAATATTTTTAATGTAAAAGAGTTTTTATGATATTGACAATAATAAAAAATGCCATTGAACTATTTACTAAATTTCCAAATTATTTTCATGGTTGGTTTTAGAATAATTTTCTTTTTACATTGCAAAAATTACTAATTTACTATCCCCTTTTGTGTAATGCTTCCTCCATCTCACAATTTTCTTCTTTATATAACTTGATACAATTTTTAACAATATTAAATGTGTGTGGTTGTAATTTCAAAAGATAAACAAGAAATTATTAGAACCACGCAACATATTTCTTTAAAAGAAAATTGATTTTTTAGACAAACAAATAAAATATTAGTTAAATAATCATGAGACGGAGAGTACAATTTTAATGCTATTTTTAAGTATCTATGTTTTTTATAATTTAAACTAATATTCTAATAAATATTAGGGGTGTGAACGAATATTAATCAGATCGGATGTGCCATTAGCAAATTCGTATCCATTTATTTTTGTCGGATATCGAATTCGGATACGGATCTTGACGGATAATGAAAATTAAAACCGTATTCGCATCCGTCGGATATCGGATATATCCGTATCCGTTTCTAATTTTTAAAACCAAATTAAACAATACTTTAATTTTCAATTAAATTAAATCAAAATATTATTAAATCAACTATAATTTTTTTATGGAATATTTATTTTCTTATTTATTTTCTATAGTTTATGATATTCAACGATGACTTAATATCATAAAAAGATATACACAGTACATATATACACATATTTTATATGTCTACACATATTTTAATGTGTCTACACATACATTTTGCATATAAAAATGTCTTATACTTTGATATATCAATAAAGAAACAAAATATAAAAATAAAAAATTAGGAAAAACTATATATAACGGATTGGATACACGGATAAACAGTTATTTAAACGGATGTCAATGTGGAGCGGATTATAAACGAATCGGATGTATGATTACCAAATCCATATCTGTTTAGCAATTGGATATCCTTAATCGGATACGGATAATAACCGCTTTTAACATATGCAGATATTTTCCATATAAACGGATACGGATGTGGACGGTAATCGATTTTTCGGTTATCCATTTACAGCCCTAACAAAAATTAACATGAGTATTTTGATCAAATGCTATGAATCACATGAACAATTTAATATGCACTGTTTGGTTCAAGGAATTAGGAAGGAAAAGAAAAAAATGATTTTCTCTCATTTTTTTCTCACCAAAATGGGAGGAATTTAGTTTTTTCTTCACTTAGTGCATTTTGCCTTCTCATTTTTTTTCCTTCCACTTTTCCTTTTTTTCCTTTCTAAGAGTATTTCTCCAACAACACTTGCTAAACATGGCTTGCAAAAGTCATTTTTAACATATGAAAGCTAGTATAGCAAGTCATTTTGCATTGTTATCTCCAACCTTTCCTTGCTATAATTTAGTTAACACATTGATTTCACTATTATAGTACACTATTTGCAATACTTTTTAAATTTTATTATTTTATTTTATAAATATCAAGTAACTTTGTAAGAATGCAATTTAAAAATACTAATTTAAAATAAAATACTGTTTTTTTCTATATTTTTTTTTTGTAAAAAATAATTTTTTTGTAGAAAAAACAATTTTTTGTAAAAAAATAAAATAAAATTTTGTTTTTCTTCTTGCGTTGTGGCACTGTACGTGAGGGAACAAATGCGTTGTGGCACATGAAAAAAGCAACCCAATCAACATTTTTGTTCTTTTTGGCTAGCTATATTTTACCAAGCTTGTTATTAGTAGCAAGTCATTTTCATTTTTTAGCAACCTTGTAAAAAATTGGCAAGTCCTTTGGAGCTTAAAATTTTGTTTGGCTTGTCAAATTTTAACATATAACAAGCCATTTTAGCATGGTTGGAAATGCTCTAAGCAAACTAGGAAAACTATTGTCTACTTTATTTTCATTTCTTTTTCCTTTCAAACTTCTTGAACCAAACATAGTGTTAGGAATTTTTTTCATTGGAAATGAAAAAACTATGGAGTAATAGTAAAGATTTGATAGAAATTAAATTTTTAAAAAAAAGACATAAAGGAAATAAACTAAAGGTTACATATTTCTTATTTTAACAACCTTAATTATGTTCACATGCTCTCTTACATTTGTCTTCTTCTATGACCACCCTTCCATTTTTATTCTTTTAATTTTTCCCATTTGCAATTGACGAAAAAATGAATACTCAGCCATTGTAAAATATAAAATACACAATTTTTAATTTATATAATGGTAAATTATGTGACATAATATTAAATAGGTTCATTATTGTTAGATTTATCTCTCATTTGGTTATATTCACCCTATTCATATTAAAAAGACATCTTTGCCTTTAATTATGTGAAAAAAAGAGTGAGATAAAACGAAACACTATCCATTTATTTTTAGTGTAACGCTATTTGTATCCTAAAGATTTGTATCCCATTTTGTACACCGCAAGGATGCACTAATATTTTACGTTGGTGTAATGCTAATTTTTGTTAAGTGAACCGGGGTATGGCTTTGCTATTGATTCCTATGCTGAAGATACTAAGGTTAGGGGTTTATCAGTTTTCTCCCCCACAACTTTGTGCAATTTCTGATTGTGATTTTTTTTTTCTTTTTTTCTTTTTGCGATTGATTTTCTTGGTTTTATTGTTTGAATTTGTTTTAGTTGTTCGAATTGTTCAAGTGTGTAGTGTTAAACTTTCTTGCAGTGTGTGTATTAACTAGAGCAGAATTAGTAAAATTTTTCCTACTCCGTTTGGTACACGGAATTCAAACTATCGAATTGGAATTGCGGAGAACAATTTCAATTCTACTGTTTGGTTGCACAAAAATATGTAGATTTGGAATTTGTAATGTCAAAAATGAAATGGAATTAGAGAATTCAATTCCATCCAAATCAGTTCCATAGAATTAAACTTCCAATTCAATTCCATTTCCGTGTACCAAACAGACCCTGAATGTTAACACAAAGTTAACACTGTGTTTGAGTTGGCTTGATCCAGGAATTCATAGTATTAGCAATGTTAACACAATGAAAACATTGTGTTTGTCCTATTGAATTTACATAGCATCATTTTATTTTCATCTCTCTGCTTACAAAAATATTTACTTCCTCTTCTGCTACGTCCGCCCCTGCATCCTCGTAGCGATAATGTCTGCGTACACACCTTTCCAGACCCTACACCTGTGTGATTCTATTGAGTTTGTTTGTTTGTTTTGATTATTTGATTGTTTTTATTCGTCTATCAATTTCAAGGATGAAGGAAACTGTGCACTCTGCACACACGAAGGAAGAACTAGCTTGTATGTGGCTGCCATTCAATCATTTGGGCTGGACAAATCCCAGGAAGAAGCTGTTATGAGCTGCGTGAAAGCTAGACAATGCTATCACAGAAACACTGTGAGTCTTATATGGGGTCCACCAGGGACGGGGAAGACAAAGACCGTTGCGTCCTTGTTATCTGTCCTCCTCCAGATGAAATGCAGAACCTTGACCTGTACCCCCACAAATGTTGCCGTTATAGGGGTCGCAAAGCGGCTTTTGGAACTGACAAGGGGCGGTCTCAGTTATGGTCTGGGAGACATTGTTGTGTTCGGTAACAAGGAAAGGATGAAGGTCGACGATGACAGCAATCTTCAGGACGTGTTCTTAGACTATCGTGTTGGTGCTCTTGAAAGGTGTTTGTCACCATTTGTTGGGTGGCAAACAAGCTTGAATTGGATGATCAGTTTGCTAGAAGAACCCGAAGTGGAATATCGGAGGTACTGCTTGCAAAATACTTTGAAAGGAAATTATAAAGAGAGTGATGCTACAAAGAAGGCAGTGGAGGAGGATTTTTCTACTAAATCATTCACTACTTCCCTCCATGGTTTCATTTCCAACTTATTTTCTTGGTGTTTTCCTAGTGCGGATCCTAAACTCATGGAAATCAAGAAAAAGGCTAAAGATGAGTCTTCTCAGGAGAAAGTAGCAGAGGATGAAGTAAAAATTTGGACATTTGAAGAACTCATTCTGAACAAGTATAAATCCTTAAAGGAGTCATTGAGCTTTTGTATGAAAACATTGTACACTCATTTGCCTACATCTTACATCCCGTTGAATGTGGCCAAGAAGATGCTTGGAGTTGTAGGTGTGCTTCAAACTATGGAAGTGTTGTTGAAATGTACTCTTAAGACTTGTGAAGGCGGTTTTAGAGATTGATTCAATGGGAAGGACATTTCTAGGAGCCCATGGAAGAAGCAACTTGATGTGCTGCAAGCAACAAAATCTGAATGTGTTTCAGTTTTGAAATATCTTCGCAGAGCCATTAGTCTCCCAAATTTCTCCCAAAACAATGAAATCCGAAGCTTTTGCCTTAAAAATGCAATTATTATTTTCTCCACTGTCTCAAGTTCTATCCAGCTTTACACTGAAGGGTCGGTGCCAATAGAGCTGTTGGTGATAGACGAAGCTGCACAACTAAAAGAATGTGAATCCACTATCCCATTGCAGCTTCCGGGTCTTCGGCATGCTATCCTCATAGGGGATGAGAAGCAACTGCCAGCTATGGTTCAAAGCAAGATTTGTGCGAAGGCTGAATTTGGAAGGAGCCTTTTTGAGAGGCTGGTTAAGTTGGGACACAAGAAGCATCTCCTTAATGTTCAATACAGAATGCACCCCTCAATAAGTCTGTTCCCGAATAAGCAGTTTTATGACAAGAGAGTGAAGGATGGGCCTAATGTCACAAAAGAAGGATACGAGAGGCGATTTCTGAAAGGAGAAATGTTTGGGCCTTTTTCTTTCATTGACATAAGTGGAGGAAGAGAGGAGCAAGATGCCAAACATAGTAGTAAAAACATGACAGAAGTAGCCGCAGTTGCTGAGATTGTGGCAATGCTCCATAGAGGTTTTCATTCTTTCTTTTCAAACCTGTTTTCTAAATATTTGGTTTTGTTTTGCTTATATGTATATGTTTTCTGGAATGGTGTTAGAATTTCAAGCTACAAAGCAGAAAGTTCAAATTGGCTGCATATCACCATACAAGGCTCAAGTTTATGCCATTCAAGAGAAGCTGGGCAACAACTACAGCACGGATGTTGGCAGTGGCTTCTGTGTGAATGTGCGTTCAGTAGATGGATTCCAAGGCGGCGAGGAAGATGTCATCATCATATCCACAGTGAGGTCTAATGGGAAGGGAGCCGTAGGCTTTTTGTCCAACTTTCAGCGTACCAACGTTGTGCTGACTCGAGCCAGGTAGTGTCGTGTTTAATCTGATCATTTGTGTTGACGATACGAAGTGTCCTGCATGGAACACTCAAGTTTTTTTTTTTTTGCTCTGATTGAACAGGTATTGCCTTTGGGTATTGGGAAATAGCGCTACCTTGATCAATAGTGGTTCGGTTTGGAGGGACTTAGTGGTAGATTCCAAGGCCCGGGGTTGTTACTACGATGCTTGCACTGACACGAACTTGAAGAAAGCCATTGTAGATGCATCATATGATCTTGCAACCAAGTTTTCATCAATGAGGCTGAGTGATAGGTGATTGATCTATTCCTTGGCATTATTGTATTATATCAAGTTATTATATTTTCTTTATACTTGTTCATTTCTAATGAAAAGAAAACCATATTTACTCTATCAGGAATAATAAAATTTCCAGAAGAACTTAGCTGGGGTCTGGTTCAAAAGGTAGCAACAGGAGAATGTTTGTGTTGAAGATTGGCTTGTTTTGCTTTGCTGCTGGGGCCAAACGCCTACTGTAGAATATTCTTCAGCCAAGAATTTGTATAGCGTGTTCAATGTGTATTATTGTCATGACTTATTTTGAAAACAACATATGATGTTATCAAACTTCTTTTGTTCAATGTATTTTTTGTCAGTTAAATTCCTAAGCTACGACTTAAACGTAGGCCTCTAAATGGGTTAGGTTTTTGATGTTATCAAACTTCTTTTATATTTAGTCTTTTGGTTTAGCAAAAATTGAAAAAAAAGTTGTATTTTGATTGCCTAATATCAAATTTGTTCATGGCTATAATTCTTGATAACCTCTTTGACTGTACAATGTAGTACTTGTTCATATTTTTTTCTCAACCTAATGACGAACAAAGAATTAATGCTTTTGTCTCCGTAATGTATAAACCTAATTTCTTAAATAAAAATGGATATACAGAGTAGTCCACTTCATCAAACAATTACTTGTATTTATATATGGGTACCTTATGCCTTATCATTTTTTTCCTCACCCTTAGTGTACTTTGTCCTCTTGTTGTGCTACTTGATTTTTGGGGGTCTCTTGGAAACAGGTTCAATTTTTAGTATGGGTAAGGTCTAATACACACCCCTTTCCCAAATCCTACTTTTGTAAGTATCTACTAGGTTGTTATTATATATGGTGAAAGAGTGAGTGTCATGAAGGTCATGTAACAGTATGCCCCTATTTATTTTTAAAATTACTCCATAATCCATATTAGAAATTGCATTATGTGCACAAAAAAAAAAGAAAAGAAATTACATTAGAGTATTTGCAACCGGGCGCTCTTGTGCCCCGTCACAGCAACATCATCATTTCCCCCTTTTTAAGTCTCACTCTAAAACACCTTTAATGTTATCGTTATCTCAATTTGTTTCTTTATTTTTTTATATTATTCATCATTTTCATTCAAAATTTTTATAAAAAAACAAAATACGTATAGTTAAAATAAAAAAATTGCCAAGGACACTCTTATTTAAAAAAATACACCAAAATAAAACAAGAAATACATTGAAATAAAAGTAATCGCCGCAGCCTTGGAGCGATTTCATTTTGGATCTCTACTTGGATTAGAGGCAATGCTTCATGGTACGCCACAATTAGTATATCTACATGCTCATCATTCATTGGTGGAAGAACCATTTTTAGAGTGAAAATGAGAAAGATGAAGATAAATAAAAAAAGAGCCAGAGTGAGAAAGATTCAATGACGGATAATATATATAGAAAAGCGATGAATTTATTGAGTTGAAATTAAAAAAATTGATCCAGTGCGGTGCATGGATCTAACATTTTTAAATTTAGTAAGAGGGGGATCTTTATAGGCCAATTGCATCCACAACAACCCAGTTGAATCTCATAAGAGTAGGGTATGTGGAGTGTGTGTGTATGCAGACCGTAACCATACTTGAAAGTACAAAGACTATTTCCAAAAAGACCTCCAACTCAGTGTCGAAAGTTGTATTGATTGACTAACCGCTATTTCATTAATTAAAGAAGCATATACAATTTAGAGATTCATTTTTTTTGTATTCCGTTACACTTCAAAGCCAAAAAATAGTGAATTTTTTGCATCATCAAAGATGATGGCCGAAAAGCCAATTACATCTGCATAGATTTATAATTGGATGCTCTAAAGAAGATAGGCGCATTGGGCGCATCAGACAGGGCGAAGACGAAGGATGTATAAAACAGAGATCTGATATCAGCATAATGAAGGAGATTTGGAGTAGCGGCTTTTTTAGGAGTTTCAATTTCTCCAGAATCTAATTCCAAATTCATTTTTATGATAACCAAACACATATTTAGGAACAGAAAAGCAGGTTCCCTTCCCGTTTTTCCGTGCCTTCCTTTTGCTATTTTGGCCGTTCCAACGGTCTTTTTCCCTTTTTAAATTTTAATTCCAACCGTTAAATTCCAAAAAAATTAAAAATTTAAAAATTCACCATTTAAACACATCTCTCCACTCACTATTTTAAACACCTACTTCACTTTCTCCTCCATTCTTCACCTTCATTCTCAAACAAAAAGTTCATCTTATTAAGAGGTGTTATACACTTGTATTTCACCACATAACATGATCTTCGAAGATGAAGGGTACACGATGTGCGAATACGATCCAAATAACGTTTTTGAGAATGTCCAACTGATGGAGGTTGCCCAACAAAACTTGAACTTGTTTGCATTACACAAGCATCATCCGCACCTCCCCCTATGTCCCCCAATTTGGTAGCTTAGAGCATTTGTGGTATTTCGCTCCACCAATTATAGATGATGATTAAGTTTCTATGTATTTTTTATTGTTTAAATATGAATTATGTTTAGATTTTTTTCAACATTTTTTAATTTTGTACCTATTTTTTATTATTCTCAATTTTTTTTCCAGCCCTTTTTTTAATGTACTTCTTAATTTAAGTTTAAGAAAATGTTCAATTTAAACTTTTAGTATGACAAATTGTTAGGATATTAATTTAATATTTTTAAAGAGTTGTGAGAGGAATGATTCTAGAGAATTCTATCTAGAAGTTACTAAAGATGTGTAGTATTCTTTAGAATATTGTGAAAAAATATAAAAAAGTTTTTCCTCGCTCATTAAAATAAGTGTTAATAAAATATTAAAAATTGGAAGGAAAAGGGAAAGAGAAGAGGAACCACGCACCCCCTCGCCCTACCACATCACCTGCAAACCAAGGATGCCAAGCATGGCAACAGATTTCCACCACGCATTGCATGTAATGAGCGAGGAAAAACTTTTTTATATTTTTTTATTCTTATTTTTTTGCATAAAAAAGAAGCAAAATTTTTAAAAACGAATGAAGTACATGTAATTTTATGAAAAAAGAAAATTAAAATAATTTTTAATAATTAAAATATGTCAGAAAAAGTGTAAAAAGTGACAAAAACTCGTGGCTTGTCACTACATAACATGTCATTCTACTTGTCACACGTTGACTGAACTAATTTTTTTTTGCAAGCAAGCACATCACTTTATTCCAAGAATAAAATCCAACAGACTTACAGCCTTCCTCAAGGGAATTAAATCCTACTACACTTGTTTTCCTTTACTATTACTATAACACTTAGTAACAAATAAGATGTAATCTACTATCTCCCTCATACCCAGACTTCTATTCGTATGGATTTTCGTATTCCTGGCCCTCCATACCATATAGCATACTGCTGCCCAATTAGCAATCATCCTCGCCCGTTCTTTTCTTGGCCCTTGATTCATGAAATAGGTGTAGATACCCTCCAGTTTCGTTCCAGTGAGATTGCATCCCCCTTCCTCCTTTAATTTCCTGCATATATCAATGTAGAAGGCACAATCTCCAAACAAGTGTTTATTATCTTCAATTCCTTTGTCACATAAACCACAGTCAGTAGAGATGCTCATAAATTTGGTTAGCCTCGCCTTAGTTTGTAGTCTATTTTTCATGATTAGCCATACGAGGAATTGGTGTTTTGGTATGGTTAATCTGTTCCAAACCATCCCGGCCCAACCAGTTTTAGGAGATTGCCCCAACAACCATTTGTATCCCTTCTCATTAGTGTAACTTTCCGTTGAAGGCATTCCTTCAAAGTCCCTTCTGATTTTGATCATCTTTTTCCAGTAGCTACATGCTTCAGTTCTGGGTTTATAGCCCCAGAAATCATCAACCTTCTTTAAGTACCTGCTGTGAACCCATTTAACCCATAAGCAGTCTTTCTTCCTTGCTATATCCCAGTTAAGGGCCATGATCATAGCCTTATTCCAAAGCCTAATATTAGGTAGCCCTAACCCCCCATTCACTTTAGGTTTGCAGGTGTCTTCCCAATTCACCAGAGGCACCCTTTTATAGATTTCAGAAGAGCCCCACAGGTAGTTCCTGGCTAGCCCCTCAACTTTTTTCATGACCCTACCCGGGATGACAAAAATTCTGGCCCAGAAATTAACCATTCCAAACAGCACTGATTGGATTAATCTGGCTCTTCCTACGTATGAAAGATGCTTGGTCTTCCAGGATGATATTCTAGCAGTGATCTTTTCTATCAGTACATCACAGTCAGCCACTGTGAGTCTACTTGCTGATATAGGACACCCAAGGTATTTAAAAGGCAAAGATCCCTCTTTTATCCCAAATTCATTGAAAATGTTTTGCTTCTCCTTCTGACTTAGCCCAGCAATGACCATTTGGGATTTCTGCAGATTTATAGAAAGTCCTGTTGCTTCTCTGAAGTGTTCTAATGCCTGCATTACACTTCTTATAGAACATACATCAGCTCTGCATACAATTATAAGGTCATCAGCAAAACAGAGGCTTGTGATTTTGAGTTCTTTACATTTAGGGTGGTATCTGAATCCTTTCAAGCCAGCATAGTTCCCCAAAGCCCTAGTCAGGTACTCCATAACAATCACAAACAATAAGGGGGATATGGGATCTCCTTGTCTTATCCCTCTATCTCCCTTAAAGTAACCTTCATTGTCTCCATTTATATTAATAGAATAAGTTGTTGTTATGCAAAACATAATCCATTGCACATATTGATCAGGGAACTTTAGATATATAAGCATCTGTTCTATTGCCTTGTGACTAACTGAATCATAGGCTTTAGAGATATCCAGCTTCATCATACATCGAGCAGATATACCTTTTCTCTTGTAGCCCTTAGCCAGCTCTTGACATAAAAGCACATTGTGGAGCAAATCCCTCCCTTCCACAAACGCCCCTTGGTTCTGATTTATAATCTCAGGTAGTACCACCTTCAGTCTTGATGCTAACATCCTTGAGATTACTTTATAAATAACATTGTAGCACGCTATAGGTCTGTAATCCTTAGCTTCTTGAGGATTCTCCCCCTTCGGAACAAGGGTAATCTTTGTATGGTTTATTTGCTTAAGTGTCTTCCCTTTATCGAAGAAATCCAAAACTACTTTACTAACCAGGTCTCCCACAATATTCCAGTGACTCTTATAGAATCCACTACTGTATCCATCTGGGCCAGGACTCTTGCCATTTGGGATAGAGAACATGTTCTTCTTGACCTCATCCTTTTGGAAAGGAGCTATGAGAGAGAGCTGTTGATTCAAGTCCAGTGTCTTTCCTGCTTCCATTATATTTTTGTCAATGTCCCTGGTATGGACTTTCTTTCCCAACAGGTTCTGATAATATGTACTTATCACCTTAGAAACTCCCTCCTTATCATTCATAACTTCACCTTTATCATTCTTAATTGATATTATTTGGTTCATCAAATTCCTTTTTTTCACTCATGCATGAAACAATTTAGTACCTTGATCTCCCTCAGTGATCCATTCCATCTTTGAGATTTGGTTCTTCATGAGTGTTGAGGCCTTCAACTTGATCTGGTATTCAATCAGTAGTTCCTTTTCTTGGCCCAAGAGGGATACATCATCCTTTCTCATCTTAAGAATATTCTGAACTTCAGTAAGTTTAGTCTTAACCACCTCTACTTGTTTATGGATTTCATTAAATTTATCCTTATTCAATCTTCTTAGCGGGGATTTCAGCTCTTTGAGTTTCTTAACCAGTTTATACATGGGTCTGCCTTCCATCTCTTCATGCCAAACCCCCTGTATAATCTCCTTCGTATGAGGATCCAGAGTCCACATATCACAGTATTTAAAATCTTTACTTCTATCTGTTATCTGATGATCAGGTATTATAATAGGGCAGTGATCTGATATACCCTCTTCCAAAATGTAGGCCTTCATACCCCTGGAAACCATCCAATCAGTGTTTGATAGCACCATATCTAGTTTTGAATAAATTCTCCTGCCTAGACCCTGTCTATTGGACCATGTATAGAAAGATCCATGGGTAGGGACTTCCTCTAATCCACAATCCATAATGCATTCTTTGAAGTCTGAAATCTCCTCTTCATTTATTCTGTTACCCCCTATTCTGTCATTGAGATTAAGGACAGCGTTGAAATCTCCCAATATTATCCAATCTCCCTTCAACCCTCTATGATAGCTTCTTATCTTTTCCCACATATCCTTCCTCCCTGCTATATCATTGAGACCATACACAAATGTAATGTGGAACTTATTGTTATTCTGTCTGTCAAGCACTATACAGTGGACAGTTTGACTGGAAGCATCTTTGATGTCTACCTCATATCTCTGTTGTCTCCAAATCACCCAAATTCTCCCATTAGGGTGATAGCTGTTATTCATATAGGATCCCCATCCCTGGCAGATCTTATTCCTTATATTATTCACCATATTATCTTTTATTTTTGTTTCCATCATTCCCATCAGACTGATTTTATTCTTTTGGAGGAAACGTTTTACCTCTATTTGTTTGTTGAGGCTGTTCAGTCCCCTCACATTCCACCCTCCAATCATTGTAGAAAAGGGTAGTGCCCCTTATAGGGGGCTTCAACTAAGTCTCTGTTCAGGCAAATCCCATGATGAATGAACTGCTCTTCTTCCCATTTCTGAACTGGTCTTGCTGCTTTCTTCTTACTAACTGGAATAAACCCTTCATTTTGATTTTCTATTCCCTCTTGATTTCCCTCTGTATCCAAACCTCTATTCTGCTTCTGGACATCTGATTCTTCTTTCTCTTGTTCATATTTTTCCTTTGTAATTTTAGGTTTCCATACTAGTTTCTGGTTCCCTTTCATTTCTTTCTTCCTGCACATATCTTCCTCATGCCCCAGCTTACTGCATTTAGTGCAACTTATTGGTTTCCATTCATATTTAACTGATAGATGTATCAGTCTATTGTTCTCATCTACAAACATGATCTTCTCAGGAAATAGTTGATTTGCACTGACAGCTATTTGGAGTCGTGCATAATCCAATTTAGTTCTTGATGTTGTGGCCTTATCAGCTTTGATTGGCTTCCCTATCAGGCTACCAATCTTGCTTAGAGCTGTAAGGCTCCAGTATTTGCTTTCCAGACCTGGCAACTGTATCCAAATAGGTATATCCATGAGGTTCTTCACATCCACCACACAGCCAGGCTTCCAGCTTCTAACATAGACAGGCTTATTGTCAAACTGGTAGTAGATCCTCTGTATTGCTTCATCTCTTTCTTTTTCAGATCCAAACCGAACCACATATTGCCCTGGTTTTAGAAATTTTATCTCATCGATCTGATATTGTTTCCAAATTCTTCCTATAAATCCCTCCATCACAGGTTGGGGAGGATTAGCTCCTAAAACACATACTATTGCAGTATCCTCCCAGTAATTTTCTGTTTGTAATACATCCTCATCATTAATCCTAGCATATTTATTACCATCGGCTTCCTCAGCTTCGACAAATGTAAGCTTACCTTCAGATTCCTCTGATCGGCCTACTGCTTCAGCATAAGTCTTCGGCTGGCCTATATCCTCCAATTTCTGAACGAGATTCTCTTCCTTATCTTTTTCCTCCGCTTTATCATCGCCCTTCAGATCTGATTCCTGATCGCCAATCACCAGATGATCCTTCTCAGGGCTCTCTCCTTTCTCCTCATTTGGTTTTTGCTTCTGCAGTCCTCCCCTTGGATGTGCTTGAGGCTTCTTCGTTTGTGACCCTGATGGAGTCACTAATTTTGATATATTAAAATATTATGACATTCCATTTTTACTTCACCATTGCCCGGTGTTATACTACTACGTACTTTTTTAATATGTATGGAATACGCTTCATGCACATGTTTAAGAATTAAAAATTGGAGTAAATTCCATAAAAGGTCCCAGTTATAGGTCGTTTTACATATTTAGTTCTGGCCTACATATCAAATATTACTAATTTAGTCCCCAATTATTATATTCATTTCCACTTATGGTCCTTTGTTAACATTTTCGTTAAGAACGTGGATAAAATTGTAAATTCACACTCCTTTCCCTCCTCAATTAAGCTTCCTCCCTCCCCTCGCACTCCTTTCTAAAACCCGTCGCTGAGTTTGAAGCTTTGAACTCAAAACCAAAATAATCACTCTTCTCTCAATTGTTTGTTGAACGGGTGGAACCCAAATTTGAAACCAGTAACCTTCATGGATGAGTTTTAATATTTATTTTCTTTGCAATTTTTTAAGACTAGCCGATAAACTTATCCATAAAGCTTATTGGTTTTGATTTTAAGTTCCACCAGGAAGACTAATAATTGAGAGAGAATTGATCATTTCAGTTTTGGGTTTAGAGCTTCATACGCAGCGACGAGTTTAAGAAAGAGTATGAGAGAAAGGATGAAGATTAATTGAGAAGAGAGAAAAGTATGAATATACAATTTTATCCATGTTCTTAACAAAAATGTTAACAAAGGACCATTCGTGAAAAATGATATAATAATTGGGGACTAAACTAGTAATATTTGATATGCAATGACTAATTATGTAAAACGACTTATAACTGGGAAGAAATTTACTTTAAAAATTGATACAAAATATTTGAGAAAAATAAAAAAAAAATATTGGGAATTGGTAAAAGATGAAGAAAAAGTGTATTGGAAATTGAATAAGCATTCATCATTAATTATACAACCATCGAAATGATGTATGAACATCTACTCGTAGTAGTGTTAAAGGCCGTGTTTGGAAAACAGCATTTCGGATAGCTTTTGGCATCTTTGACTGACTTTAGCTTTTTTGACCAAGCGAACCGCCAAAATCATTGTTTGGCTAATGGCTTTTTCACTTGGCATTTTGATCCGAAAAGCCAAAATCTGAAATGCCAAGGTGAGTAGAATTTGGACTTGGCGGTTAGGAAAAATATTTTTTTAAAAATCATTTTTGTTGAAAGATATTTTATAATATATGTAAAAAATAAAAATAAAAGTTAAAAAAAATTAAATACGAAAAAATAAAATGAAATTAAAAAAAATTACATTTATAATTCATTAAAAAATTTATATTTATAATTTATTATGAATTAAATGAAATTAAAATTTAATATTCCATATAGTAAAGATTTAATTTTTACATGTAAAAAAATGAAAAATAAATATCATGTCTATATATATATATAATTTTTTATTTAATTTTTTTAACTTTTAAAAAAATATATTTATGATATGATATTTAAAAAATTGTAAAATAAAATATACCATAAATGGAGGGATGTCCTTTTATGTAATTTTATTTACAAACAGCTAACTATAAACAGCTAAAGTTGCCAAACACTTAAAATTTAACTGCTAACGGAAACAGCCGGTCAAAACAGCTAACTCAATCAGCCATTCAAATCAGCTAACATAAACAGCCAACAGCCAACAACCAACTGCTAGTATCCAAACAAGGCCAAAGACTTTAAAGTGTCAGCANTATATATATATATATATATATATATATATATATATATATATATATATATATATATATATATATATATATATATATATATTATAATCCGCAGTATAATATAACAATATAATGATGGAAGCTGCAAATCAAAGGCAGCAGAGCCTGACCGATATAGTGTTCTCTTGGTCTTTACAAGACGTGATGAATAAATATTTGTACATTCACAAGGTTTGTTTTCAATATTATATATATATATATATACATACATACATTCTCCTGTTTAGATTTTCTGGAGTTATTATTAGTATGGATATATTCATATCATTTTTTTGGTTATACTGTAGTGTACTAAGCTATGTTGCTCTGTTAATTACCAGGTAAGAGAAATCCCAGAAACGTTCTTGGGAACAGAGGATTACCTGAGCTCATTCATGCATCCACTTCTGGAAGAAACGCGTGCCGACTTATGCACAAACATGACAAGCTCACTGCGCCATGCCCCGTCCTGTGAGGTCTTCGACGTGGTGGGTCCCACCAAAGATGTCGACACTCGTCGTAAAAGGTTCTTCTCTGAAAGCCTCTCGTTGAGCAGAATAAGTAGAGAGGAAGATGGTTGCAGCTATGTCATTTGGTTCCGTCGAGAGAAGGATGATGGTGTTCATAAGACTGAAGTGTGTTATAAACCGCAGTCAGGGGATTTAATCGCCTTCTCCGATGTGAGGCCCAGGCGAATCGAGGATCTGAACAGACCGAAGATGCCTTTCCTCTTAGCTGTGGTCAGAGGCATGCCCGAAGATGATGAGGACGACGATGAAGATGATCAAGATTTAGTTTATTTCCCCGTATTGTCATCAAAGCCTATAAACTTTGAAAGACGTTCTGAGGAGGATGAGAAGAAGGATCAGATAAACAAGGAAGACAAACTTTTTGTTGTTTATCTTACCAATTTGACAACAAATACTCGCATATGGAACTCTCTGAACATGAACCCCACCTGTGCAAGCTTAGACATAATCAGAACGGTCCTGCGACAGAGTGTTCCTCCAAATGAACGGGAGCGGGATGAAGGAACTTGTGCAACTTGCACCCTTAAAGCAGCCGATGATGATGAAGTTGATAGTTTGCTGAAGGCTAAGACTGCCATTCAGCCATTTGGATTGGATCACTCCCAGGAAGAGGCTGTTTTGAGCTGCATAAAAGCTAGGGAATGCCATTGTCAAAAAAGTGTGAAGCTGATATGGGGTCCACCGGGGACTGGGAAGACAAAGACCCTTGCGTCGTTGTTATCTGTCCTCTACAACATGAAGAGCAGGACATTGACTTGTGCCCCAACAAACATTGCAGTCATAGGCGTTGCGAAGCTGCTGTTGGGTCTGGTGAGGGACAGGCTCCGATGTGATCGTTATGGTTTGGGGGACATTGTTTTGTACGGTAATAAGGAAAGTATGAAGATTAAAGATCGCGTGGAGCTGCAGAAAGTGTTTCTATCTTATTGAGTCAAGGCTCTTTATGAGTGTCTGGTACCTCATAAGGGGCGGGCTGGGTGGAAATCTGGTTTGCGCCGAATGATTTGTCTTCTGGAAAAGCCAGAAGTGTCTTATAAAATTTACTTGGAAGAGGCTAATAGGGTCATTGAACGGCCCGTGGAGGAAAACAAGAAGAAAAGGGGGAAAGTGAGGTCCTCTAGAAAGGGGAAAAATTTGAGGCCTCATGACACGGAAAAGTTTAGGACTTTTGAGGAATATGTTTTGAAGACGTACAAGGCTTTGTCGGAGCTATTAAAGTGTTGTGTGGAATCCTTGTACACTCATATGCCTACATCCTGCATTTGTTTGGAAGATGTCAAGAAAATGACTTCTGCACTTGCCCTTTTTGATTCTCTTGAAACATTGTTGGAAATTGCTGATACCCATGGAGGTCTTAAAGATGGCCTAAATGGGACTGGGTCTTCTTCCATTGTTAAGTGGAAGATGCAGTATGATTCATTGCAGACTACGAAATCGGAATGTGTCTCTATACTCGAAGATCTTTTAAAAAACATCAATCTCCCGTACAGTCCGTTGGATCTTGATCGTCCCATAAAGGATCAAATCCAAAGCTTTTGCCTGGAAAAGACAGTACTGATATTCTGCACTGCCTCAAGTTCATCCAAATTGCACACTGAGAGCATGCCACCAATTCATCTTGTGTTGATTGATGAAGCTGCACAGCTTAAGGAATGCGAGTCCACGATCCCGTTGCAGCTTTCAGGCGCTCGCCATGCTATACTCATTGGAGATGAGAAACAGCTGCCAGCAATGGTTCAGAGCAAGGTTTTAATACTACTCTATGGCTTTTTTTAATGTTTAGCAAGCTCGTTGTGAGTTTTTTATAGTTGTTGTCCACAGATTTGCCAGAGAGCCGAGTTTGGGAGGAGCTTGTTTGAGAGGCTGGTTAAACTAGGGCGCACAAAGCACCTGCTTAACATTCAATATAGAATGCATCCCTCTATAAGTTTCTTTCCCAACAAGAAGTTTTACGATAAGAAGGTGATGAATGGGCCAAATGTCACAAAGGAAGGATACGAAAAGCGGTTTCTCAAAGGAGAAATGTTTGGACCCTTTTCATTCATTGACGTAACAGGAAGCGAAGGCCGTGACAACAGATGTAGTAGCAAAAACACTGCAGAAGTATTTGCAGTAGCTGAGATTGTTTCGATGCTCTACAGAGGTTTCTTTCCTTCTTTAACTGGTTTCTCATATTCGTCGTCTTTTTTTTAATTACTATTTCCTTTTCTCAATGGTAAATGTTAGAGTTTCAAGCTTCAAAACAAAGAGTTCGCATTGGGTGCATTTCTCCCTACAAGGCTCAGGTTTTTGCCATCCAACAAAAGCTTGGGAAGAAGTACAGCGCAGACGTTGACAGCCACTTCTCAGTGAATGTGAGATCTGTAGATGGCTTTCAAGGCGGAGAAGAAGACGTTATCATCATCTCCACAGTACGGTCTAATGGTAGCGGATCAGTGGGCTTCTTATCTAACTTTCAGCGCACTAATGTGGCTCTCACTCGAGCAAGGTGGTGTGGCACACTGTTTTATTGGTTCCTTAGGGTTAATGGGTTAATTCTCTCACATTCAAATATTAAAAAGAGACATACATGATTTCATGAAGTCCTCAGTGATACTAATTAATCAATGATTCAAATCATTTAGTATGGTTCCAATCAATTATGAAGCATATATACTGAGTAAACTATACATTTATACACTGCCTGTGTTTCTTTGTTGCCTGTCTTCAAGATTCTGTTTTTGTTGATCTTTGTTTAGATATTGCCTTTGGGTATTGGGCAACGGTGCGACATTGATCAATAGTGGTTCTGTTTGGAGAGATCTGGTGGTGGACTCTCAAGCCAGGGGGTGCTACTATGATGTCTGTGGGGACAAGAACTTGGCAAAAGCAATTGCAGATGCTTCCTCTAAAGATTTATCAAGCAAGTTTTCATCAATGAAACTAAACCAGAGCAACACGCATGGGTAAAATCCTTTTTGAGACTCAAGAGCTTAGCTTATATTTTCGCACGTGTGCGTTCTTAAAAGAATGCATTTGATTCTGATCAAAATTGTTAATCACGAAAATGATTCGTTTCGGGAATAGGAATGCTTTCCAGAAGAACAAGGATTGGTTTTCTAGAAAGCATTGAGGCTGCTAGAGACTGTTTTGATGATGATGGTGCTTTGAAGAACAAGTTGAATTTGAAGAATGAAGTCTTGCTGAAGCTGCTCACTGTAACTTGAAGAATATCATCTCTTTCTGAATGAATAGAGGACAACTTATTATTGGTTTCATGCAAATTATAATTTTAATGCTAATATTTATGAGCATTCTATGTGTTTAAGTATTCCATACATCAGTTAGTAGAAAACAATCTAGAAAAACCAAAATAGACATGGAGAACTTCATACAATGGCTCTGACAAAAAAAACTGAGTAAAGGGGGTATCATATTGATATGCATACTTATTTACATAACTTCCAATTTATGTGTTCATAACAAGCCTACGTGGGACTTGAACCCATATCTTCATGCGCTATCAACGATTCAACATGAGGATCTATCATTGAGCTAATAGGCTAAAACATTTACTCAAATAATATCAAAATGTGGTTATATTAAGGAAGTATCTCAATCGGAAGTCTTAGGAACCATGAATCGCCACCAGAACCAGAAATTGGAACACTGTGAATTCTTCTTGAAATGAAAAAGTGAATTTAAAAAAATAATACTACGTACAATCAATTAGAAGTAAATCATTTCACATGGTAATTTTTAAAAATTACTAAATCGTTCTTTTAATAATCAATTTGAAGTAAATAATTTCATATAGTACGGAGGGCCGAAAATAATCTTCTCATTTCTTTTTTTTTCCGTCCGAAAATAATCTTTCCATTTCAATTTTTGATACACTAACTACCCAAAATACCCCACTTAATATTTTCACTCTATCTCTCCCCTCTCCCCTTTCTCTCCCCTCCCTCATTTCCTCGCCACTCACACCTTATCTTTTTCTCCTTCTCTCCTTCCTCTTCTCTATTTCTTCATCCGTTCCTCCTCCTCAACAGCCCTTCTTCTTCTTCTTCTTCTTCTTCTTCTTCTCCTCCTTCTCCTTCTTCTCCTTCTCCTTCTCCTTCTTCTGCTTCTTCTTCTTCTTCTTCTTCTTCTTTCACTTCCCTTTTCTCTGTCTCCAAGAGGTAGAGATGGTGGCGGCCACAATGATGGAGCAATGGTGGTGAGGGTTGAGGGGCGATGGTGGAGCCAGCAATGATGGGGGCGGTGTTGGGTGCTAGCCTCGGCAAAGACCAGCGGGGTGGTGTTGGGCTGTAAAAGTGTAAAACAAGTAAGAAATGAAGAGTATATTAGACATTTCCATTCCAAAGTCAATCTTTCATAAAAATGAGAAAAAATCGAAATGGGAAGATTAATCCTGGACGAAGGGAGTAATTTTTAAGAAGGATAATTTATCTTAATAGGACTAAAACATAATGACTTTCTCAAAATAGGACCATATGTCTTTATTTTCCAATGTAGGACCATTGGTCATTATCTATTAGTCATTATTCAACTAAATGTCTAACATCACTTGGACATTATTCTTCTCAATAGTCATTATTAAGTCCTATTTAGAGAATAAAAAAGTTTAAGTCCTAAATTAGGAAATGATTTATGTTTTAGTCCTATCCAGTGCAAATTTTACTTTTAAGAATTCCTAAATCATTCTTTTAATAATCAATTAGAAGTAAATCATTTCATATACTATGTAGTAGTTTTTAAAGGAAAATTAACTTTTTAGTGTCTTTTTTTGGGGATATACAAGGTATTAAAACCTGTGACATGTAAATCAAGAAATAATAAAATGAGGTTTATATTGGTGTTTTAAAATAAAAATAACGAGTAAAGAAGATTGTGAATCACACAAATATTACTAAGGCCAAATGTTATGGTAGGCTTCACGGGGGCTTGATGGGGCTTCATGGGGTGTAAAGAAATATAATGTTGAGAGATAAAAATATGTGTGTTGTAGGCTTGAAAGGAGGATGTGACCAAAAAATAATGAGATAAATATGTGGATTATTTTGGTTAGTTAAAATTTAGAAATAAAAAAAGGAAACAAGGGTCACAGGACATGGAGGTGCTCTAAGAAACTTATGCCTTTCAGCGTTCCAAGAGTGTTGCTACATTAACAGAAATTTAAATTACTGTTTGCATCTATATTTATTTATACAGAAAACAATATCTGCAATCCTTTAAGGTGCAGTGGTTATTATTCGTATTCATTAAATGACAACTGATTGGTAAACAATACGAATTTGGCAATCATATCATCAATCCATTTATAATCCATTCCGCATATACATCCATTTGAATTAAGTGTTTGTTTGTTTACTACGAACCATTACATACATTAAGTAGTGTTAGTTTTGGTCAGAGAAGTGAAACTATACAAATTTTCTCAATTTTTTTCTATATAATGTTGTTTCTGTATATTTTCTTTTAAAGAATAAGACATCTTTATATGCAAAACGTATTCATAGATATATGCATATATGTGTGTATAGTGTATAATTTCTTTTACCATATAGAGTTTACCTAGAGGAAAAAAATATTTCAAAAACTAAAAATATGGAGTACTTATTACTCTCTCTCTCTCTCTCTCTCTTCATTTTTATTCTTCTGATCTCATTTTGACTTTCTAAATCAATGTTTTTTAAACTTTGACTATAAAATATAAAAAATACACTGAGTTATGATAAAAAATTAATATGAATAGGTTCATTTGGAAAAAGTATTGAAATATAAAAAATTTATAATATATATCTATGCATAAATAAAAATATTATAGTCAAAATATTACATTGGAGAGTACAATGAGAATAACTAAGGCTCCGTTCCGTTCAACAAATTTTTTCTAATCTGATATGATTTTTTGTAGTTCTGATCTGATCTGACCTAATCTGGTCTGATTTGATTGGATCTGATCTGATCTAATTAGATCTGATCTGGTCTGATCTGATTCGATCTAATCTTATCTAATTAATTATGATTTGATTTAAAATTCAAATCAATAATTTGATTTGACTTTATAATAACGTTTGAAAATTGTAATGATAATTCATATTATAATATAATCAATATTTTTTATTTTATGATTATTTTCAAATGAAATAAAATTAGTTAATTCATATATTAGAATAATCATTCATATTATAATGTAATAATATTTTTTATTTTATGATTTTTTATGAGATAAGAATATTGATTTAATATTTTAATAATTAGTTCATATATACATTAGAATAAATATTTAATTCATATATACATTAAAAAGTAATTAAATTTAGATGATCAATAAAAAGAAAAGATAGTATTTTTATTAAAATATCTCATCCTTATAAAATATCAACGTGTGCTTTGTACTACGTAATTGTTTTTATAATTAATATAACACTATAGATATAATAGTTATTTCAGTTACACTAAAATATACTCCGTATATAAATATCAAATGTAAATTTTATTTAAGTCGTGATCAAAGTTTATCAAGTCGATGTAGTAAAAGATCAAAAGTTTAGAAACTCAAATTACATGGAGCAATAAAAATATATTTTAAAAGTAGAATTAAATTGACATTGTCAATGTATTTTAAAAATAATTTTTCCGACGTCTAATAATTAAGGATTACTTTCTCAATTTTCTAATTAACTTGTTTCTAATGTTTATTCTTCTTCATTTTTTAGAATAATAATAATAATAATTCTTGATTGCATCTTATCTGATTCGATCTAATCTGATTATATCTGATCTTATCTAACCTGCTCTGATCTGATTTTAATTAGAATAAGAAAAAAGTAAAAAAATAAGTTGAACGGAACGGGGCCTAAAGTAGACAAATTGAAGGGATTACCAAATTACAATTGAAGAAAACTACTAAATTTAACGACGTCAATATTTTTCTTTAATTGTAATTTGGTACTCCCTTCAATTTGTCTATAGTTATTCTCCTTGTACTCTCCAATGTAATATTTTCACTATAATATCTTTATTTATGCATAGATATATATTATAAATTTTTTATATTTCAATATTTTTTTCCAAATGAACCTGTTCATATTAATTTTTATCATAACTCAGTGTATTTTTTATATTTTATAGTCAAAGTTTAAAAAACATTAACTTAGAAAGTCAAAATGAGATCAGAAGAATAAAAATGAAGAGAGAGAGAGAGAGAGTAATATGTATAGAAATCATCCTAAATAGGACTAAAACATAGAGAAAAGTACCAAAATAAGACTTTCATGTTTTTTTTCCCGGAATAGGACTTTGCACCGTGGTAATGTGACTTTGCATTGTGGTAATGTGGCAGTGTACATGTGCAAATTACTATACTTTTTTGGTAATGTATATGATCATGTTTGGTAATGTAAGTCCTATTTCGGGAATAAAAACATGGAAGTCATATTTTGGTATATTTTCAATGTTTTAGTCCTAGTTTGGTCTTTCTCCCTAATATGTACTCCAAATTTGATCCAAGTAGTATTAAAACTTAAGACTTTTCTCTAAATAAGAGTGGACAAGTTTTTTCACAAAATTAGCATTAAAATTAATTAATTAATTATTAATAATATCTACTTACTAAAACATCCTTGTATCTTAATTATTTTGTACTCTGTATAAAATAAAGACTATATTTTTTTCTCCTTTTTTTGCACTCTCCCTTTTTTCAATTTTTCTTTCCTTGATTCATTTGCTTATATTTGAGCAGTTGCATAAAACGTATCATTTCTGAAAACATTCAAACATTTGTCTTTTACAACAATGGAATATCCTGCTTTGTCAAAGCAGGAGACAGAAATAATTTTCCTGCTAATTGCAGGCACAAACAAAACATTGTTTAATTGCAACATAAGACCACTAGGAAGAGGTAAATTATAGGTTCCGACAGCCAACGCATTGACAACTGCTCCATTGCCGACTCTAAGTTGAACCTCTCCTCTGTCAACTGTCTCACCTCATGCAGATTCTGCATAGAAGTAAAGATGTGAGAAGCACATCCAGTGTCAATCACCAAAGTGGTGAAATCAAACATGTTGACTTCAATAACGTAAATACCTGAGGTGACGGGCTGTTTGCCCGCTTTCCTCTCTGCCATAAGCTTTGCGCAGTTGCGCCTCCAGTGGCCCTTTTTGCCACAATGGTAATAGACAACAGCGACTTTCTTCTTCTTCTGGACTCTCGCTTTAGGCTTCTGCGCAGAGAGGCTGGAACTAAGCTTAGGGTTCTTGGACCCCTTGCCTCTTTTCCCGGCCGGCGGACGTGACCCACCTCTCTTTTCCAGCGCACCGTCCTCCACCATTAGGACGGGCTTTGCCTTTCCTCTCCCAAGACTCTCCTCAGCGGTGGTGAGGAATTTCAACAGCTCAGCTAAGGTCATGTCGAGTTTGTTCATATAGAAATTCACGACAATTTGACCATACTCTGCTGGCAATGCTCCCAAAATGAGATCAATTGCTAACAGTGGGTGTAACGGGGCCTCCAGTTTTTCAAGCATTTCAATCATGCCGATTAGCTTGAGAACGAACGGGCCATTTGTTGAAATTTTTGAAAACAAATCATCACTGGTGAAATTTATATAAAATACAGAGTATATTTTACAATGGTGAAATATATATAAAATACGGAGTATATTTTACAATGATGAAATGTATTTTTATAAAATTTTTAAAAAATGAAAAAGTTTTATACAAATGTATTAAAAGAACTATAAGAAAAACTAATTGGACCAATGAGATGCATTCATCTCATAAATGGGTGTTTATGTGGATGCATATGTGGCATGCCACATGTTAACACTACAACAAATTAACTCAACTTTACACACACACACACACACACACACACACACACACACACACACATATATAAATGCTAGAGTTACAAACATATAGTTCACAAACTTTACAAACTTGCCTTTTGTGAATTTTAAATTAAATTTTCTTTTATTATTTGAGTGCATCTTATTTCTAGAAAAGTGTTAAAAAGCAAGTTTGTAAATTTTGTGAACTGTTTGTTTGTGACTCTATCATTACTCATATATATAGGATAGAATGAGAGAAAGTGAGACGAACAATTAAATCAAGATATGAAAATAAGAGAGAAGGAAAGGGGAGAAACTAGATGTATGTGTGGAGGGAAGAAATAAATATGAGAGAAAGAAGGAGAAGGAAGAAATAAGAACAAAAGAGAGTAAAACATAACATTTATTTTTAAAATAAATCAATATTTTTATCTTGAAACAGAAGTTTGCATTGTGATATTATGATATTATATAGTCGTATCTCAGCTTACTTTTTTGTATTATATATTGATATTATTGACAATGTACTCATATTTTGAGATAAAAAATTATGAAACTCATTTTAGCACTTTTTCTATTATTACTTATAGTTTAGTCCTTTTTTGAAGAAAAAAGAAAGAAAAAATAGAGAGAGAAAAGGAGGAGAAAAAGACAAGAGAAAAAGTTATATATTAATTAAAAATGAAAAGTTGCTAATAATTAAAGTGATCATTATTTATATGTTACCCGTATCTTGGTTTATTAAAAATTATTTTTCATACGAGAATGAGAGAGACAGTGCACATAAAACGAACCGACAAACACTTAGCATTTACATTAATTAATTCCACTTCGTAATTACGTTGGTCATTCCCCGTCCGATATAGAAATCATCCTGAATAGGACTAAAACATAGAAAAAATACTAAAATAGAATTTTTATGTTTTTTTTCTTGGAATAGGACTTTGCACTGTGGTAATGTGACTTTGCATTGTGGTAATGTGGCAGTGTATATGTGCAAATTACTATACATTTTTGGTAATTTATATGACCATGTTTGGTAATGTAGGTCATATTTCGGGAATAAAAACATGGAAGTCCTATTTTGGTATATTTTCAATGTTTTAGTCCTACTTTGATCTTTCTCCCTTCTCGATATTTGTTCGTCATTAATTCTTTCCCCATTTCGTTTAAGTGCAATTGTTTGATTTATTTTCCCATTTGATTATTTAAATAATAAAGTTCTTACATTATGTTTGGTTCTAACTAAATTCATACCCGTGCATTGCATGGAAAAAATTTCGTTGTAAAATAAAAATTACAAAATAATTAAGTTTTCAATGATTAAGTAAAAATTATATACATGAATGATATCCATTGTGATTCGCATAAAATCTCATGGTTTGAGGATAAAATACTTTTATATATATAACATAATACCTCAAATATTAATAAAAATAATTTTTTTTGTATATCTAAAATTAGTGTTCGTACATATTTATTTAGATGATTATTTAATTGAGTAATTTTCTAATATTTTATTCACTAAAAAAATTTGGGACGGTTTGACTAAAGTTGTAAAATAAGGAGAAATAATGTTGTGTTAACTTTCTAAAAATATCCTTGATGTGATGGGTAAAAATAGAATGTGATGGGTAGATTATTAGAAAAAAGATATGATATGATAAATAGAGTATGAAAAAATAAAGAGTAAAATTGATTTTTTAATAGAAATGAAACATTGTGTCTCAAAAAAGTATAAAATAGATCGCAATGGGTGTGGCTATCAACACCCAATAATGCCAATATTATAAGATTGAAACACTCTACAAACCGGGCTACTAAAAATAAGTTACAGGCCACCTTTCAAAAAACAAAAGACCTGACATTTCATGAAGTTAAAAGTCCAGCCCGACAAAGCAAATGCAAGTTTTGTGTGAGTAGATGCACTGTGATTAATGAATAAAAAGTTTTTTTTTTTGAGATAATGAATGAATAAAAAGATAGTATAGTGAAGATTGATAAAAAAAGGTTTGGATTGAAAAACAAAATGGAATTTTGAGAGCCAAATAGATTAATGTAAAAATATATTTAAGATTGATAATTTTTTTTAAAAAAAACTTTTCGATTTATTGAGATGAGAGAAACAACCAAATTAATACACAGTATATTCATTCACTGATTCCTAATGGAAAAACAAAAATAAAAATAGGATTTCACTTACATGCACCTCATTCCAGCAAGAAGTTTGGAAATAAGGCCTGTTAGAGATAGAAGAAGGAAACAGGATTGAAGAAGGAAAGTATGAGAGACAGAATAAAGAAGCGGGATTGAAGAAAGAAACAGAATGCCTTTGGGATTAGTTTTAGTATCTTTCCTAGTTGGATTAGGTTTAATATTTAGTATCTTTCCTTGTTTGTTTAATTCTTATTTTAGTAGGAATAGAAGTTTCCTTGTTTACTTTACCCCCCTCTTCCTGTATAAAGAGGGTTAGATCTTTGTATTCAAAACCAGAGTTTCACGAGCCAATTCAATATACAAACTATTTTCTCTCTTATTTTCTGTTAGCATCTCCAAAAGCTTCGAGGAATAGAGGGCAAAGCTCTACATGGAATTAGGGCTGGACACGGTACCGGTTCAGTACCGTCACCGGAAACGGTACCGCCGGTACCGAGCACCGTGACGACTACCGGGACGGCTTAACGGTTCCGAGAACCGGCACTGGTACCGCCACATCCGGTCTCGGTTCCGGTGCCCCAAAATCGTTACCGGCACCGCCGGTACCGGTGCCGGTTCCGGTACCAGTGCCGGTTCCGGTACCGGTTCCGGTACCGGTGCCGGTTCCGGTACCGGTTCCGGTATCGGTGCCGGTACCGGTTATATATATATTTTTTCTCCTTTTTGCTCTCCAACGGAAACCTGCAAAAAAAAAAAACAAAGTTAGTGGGGGGGGGGGGCGGCCAAAACGGCTAATTGGCCATGGGGTCATGGGGAGGGGGGGAGGGGGGTTATTTTTTTATAAATACTCATTTTTTCTTCTAAATTCTAAAAAAATCACACTCAGCAATCCATATCCATCTCTCTTACTCTCTAATCTCTAATCTCTATTCTCGCATTCTCTCAAATTTCAATATCTCAATCTATCATTTTAATTTCTCAATCTTAATATCTTATTGTCTCTTTTATACATTTTTTTTAAATATATTATATTTTAATATAAAAAATTTCGAAATTATTTGAAATTTTCGAAATTTAATATTTCTTTAATATCAAAAAGTATATAATATATATTTTAAATATATTCTCTATTTTTTTTTTTTGAAATTTTCGAAATTTTTATATATAAAATTTCGATTTTTTTTTAAAGTTTCGAAATTTAATATATTATTTTTTTATATCAAAATATATATATATTAAAATGTCGAGAGAGTCCGGTAAAAGGTCCGTGGATATGGGCGCCGTATCCACGGATATAAAGCTCCTTCGAGGGTTTCTTTACGGTTCTTTACCTCGTCGCTTTTTTTGAACCGTCAAGATATTAAATGTGGTTGTTCTTCAGTTAGTGTATTATTCATTTAAAATATTTAAATAACAACTACATTTTTAGATTTTTGACTTCATTCTTTCCTTAAACAATTGCAAATTTAAAATTTTATACTTAAAAATTTTAAAAAAAAAGCAAAAAAAAAATTAGGGGGGGGGGGCGAAACCGGCCGGTCCGGGAACCGGAACCGCCGGTCCGGGAACCGGAACCGGTACCGGCCGGCACGGTGACGGTTCCGGTGACATGGGGTGGCGGTACCGGAACCGGAACCGTACCAGAACCATACCGTGTCCACCCCTACATGGAATCAAGAATCTTGAAGAATATGAAAACATCATATATATTTATAACAACCTATTTAATGTTTTCTGTCTCTGGATGCAATCAACGGTGGACATTCCTTTATATTTTAAGCGGAATTTTTTTTTCTTTTTTTTAAAGCCAGATTTCTTTTACTTTTGGGTATGCTCCTTCCGTTCCTAAGTATTTGTCCATTTTTGACTTCTTTCGGTCAAAATTGGTAAACTTTAATCTCAAATTAAATAAAAATGATATTAGATATTGATACAAAAAGAGTTTTCTTAGATTTATTATATTAAATACTTTCAAAATATTATTTTATTTCATTAAAATATAATATATATTTTATTTAATTATAGGTCAAAAGTTAAAAATATTATAAATATAGATAGATGACACACAAATAATTATTTATTGAACTTATCATAATTCACATTTTCAACTAAATTTCTTCCCGTAAGAAATAAGAAAGGAACAAAAGAAGAGAAAAAAATATAATTAGTCTATGTTTGAGAAGTACAAACGGCGGAGAAGCAATGAACAAAAAGACCAATTAAGAGTCAAAATTAATTGTTTCATTTATTACTATTGTTGGCCACGAATAACTATTTTTGTTCAATGAACAAAGAAGAGCAAAGGTCATACATTTTTTCCACCCCATTTCTTTTGCTTTTATATAGAAGTATAGATAATTAGAAAAGAAAAAGGTTATTTTCACTCATTTTTTTCATATAAGCGAGAAAAAAAAGTTTCCTTTCCACTCTCTAATCAAACAAAAATATTATTTTTCATTTTTACTTTTTTCTTATTTTTTTCTTAGAAAAATCCTTAAACCAAACATAGTATTAGAAAATTTGAATAATAAAGTTATTAAAAATAATACTTCCTAAAAAGATCAATACTCCATACAATAGAACAGTGGAATCGCATTTACGGAGTGGATAGAGTATTTTTAAAAATACTCCCTTCGTCCCAATTTATAGTTTTTATTTCGATTTACGATGTTTGACTAAAACTATTTTCAAATCATTTTATATGACAAATGACATAAAGTTAAAAAATAAAAATTACTTTTTAAAATTCTACATCAAAAGATCTACAAAACTAGTATTGACAATAATATTTTATTCTATCAAACTGCTAACGAAAATAGAAAAATAAAGTGAATAAAGTTTGACCTTGTAAATAGTAAACAGACATCATAAATTGGGACGGAGGAAGTATCTCACATCAGAAAAGTGATAAGAAACGATGGGGTATATAAGGCATATTTGGTTTTTGGCATTTGGGATGACTTTTGGCTATTTTGACCCATTTTAGCGGATTTGATCGGTCAAACCGCCAAAAAAGGTGTTTGGTAATTGGCTGCACGGGTTGGCTATTTGAGCCCGAAAAGCCAAAATTTAAAACGCTACGGGGAGTAGCATTTCGGTTTGGCTGTTGGAAAATAAATTTTTTTTATTATCTGTTATTGTATGTAATTTTTATGAATAAAAGAATATTATTTATTGCATAATTAAATAAAAAATTGGTATTCAAATAAATATATAAATAAAAAATCGATAAATAAATAAGTAAATAAAATAATAACTAAGAAAAAATAAGTAAATAATATGTATATAAATAAAGAAATAAATAATAAATAGTCTTTCCCCATGCAAATTTCATGAAGAGATTTGTGAGAAAAAAATCTGATTTTTTTAAGATTTTGGTGTTGAAACAAACCAATTATAAATTTAAGAACTATATCAAAAGTTTTTTTAAACAAAATATAATACTCCGTATAATTATATTATTCTATCAATTGATTGATAAAAACACATAAATAAATAAAATTATAATGACTTTAGAACAATACATAGCTTAAAATTTTATTTGAGGAAAGAAAGAATACATATTCCAAAGCATGTTATACCATATAATTATATAGGTGAAAATTTCATTGAATTAAATTCAAGTTATAAAAGCTATTTTGAAGAAGCTAAGTTTGCCAAACATTTTTTATCAACAGCTAACATAATCGATTGGTCAAAGTAGCCAACTCAACCAATCGTTCAAACCAGCCAACACGAACAGCTATCAGCTAACTGCCAACAGCTAAATTCCAAACAGGGCCATAGACTCTTGAGTTTGACTAAATAATTAATTGAATTCAACCTTTTAATGTGTATTCACACAAGTGTTTTATGGCCTAATCCAATAACTCTTTCTCATCTTAAATTTTATCATGGTATCAGAGCTATATTTTAACCCAACTTGTTTGTCAAGGTAACCGTCTAGATGTTCATTCCTAGCAACCCTAGACTTAGTCTGGTTGTCCGTGTGGAATGTATAACCAATGACATGCGGCCTCTTTAACCTGATTGCTCGTCTAGAAGTCCATACCTAGCGGTTCATGGTCCTTCATGAGTTGGCGTTTAAAAAAATCAAAGGTTTGGGAATCAACTTGTGAGTGGTCAACCGATTAGATTCAAAATGGTTTGATTGTCCACTTGAGAGGAGTGTTAACGGCCTTGTTTTGCATCAGCGTTAGAGATTAACGTTAGCGTTTTGAAAAGGCTATCTGACAGTAGCATTTAGCGTTAGCATTTTCCGAATTAATCTACGGCATTAATAGTTTATCCAAAACGCTAACGCTAACGCTAACGCTAACGCTAACGCTAACGCTAACGCTAACGGCCTTGTTCTATTTTACTGAAGAAGGCTAAGACTGGCATTCAGTCATTTGGATTGGATGTTTCCCAGGAAGAAGCCATTTTGAGTTGTGTAAGAGCCAGACAATGCAGGCATCAAAACACAGTGAAGCTAATATGGGGTCCGCCAGGGACTGGGAAGACGAAGACGGTTGCATCCATGTTATCTGTCCTCTACAACATGAAATGCAGAACCTTAACTTGTGCTCCGACAAACATTGCAGTCCTAGGAGTTGCAAAGCGGCTGATGGAAATTGTAAGGGGCAGTCTTGAATTTGATAGTTATGGTCTTGGAGACATTGTGGTGTTTGGTAACGGCGAAAGGATGAAGATTGAAGATCACGAGGACCTGTGGGACGTGTTTTTGTCTTATCGTGTCGATGCTCTTCTTAGCTGCATCTCTCCTTTTGTGGGATGGCAATCAGGGTTGCTGCAGATGATCAATTTGTTGGAAGAGCCCGAGGAGGCCTATAAAAAGTACGTGCAGACAGTAAAAGAGGAGGAAGGGAATGAGGATGAAGCTGATGGGAAACAGTTTGAAGAACAAGGAACTACGGGCTCGAAAAGCTCAAAGATAAACAAGAACTTGAAGAAGTTCATTATAAAGACAGTGAAGGAAAACAAGAAGAAAAATATCGCAGTGAAAGGCAAGAAAAAGGCTGTGAAGATTAAGGTAAAGGTTTGGACTTTTGAAGAGTTCTTTATGAGAAGGTATAAATCCTTAGCTGAGCAGTTGGAGTTTTGTGTGGCAACCTTGTACACTCATTTGCCCACTCCCTACATTCGCTTCGAAGTAGTGAAGAAGATGATTGGGGCACTTGATTGCCTACAATCTCTTGGAGACTTGTTGAGAATTGCAGAGAGTAGTGGAGGACTTAGAGTTGGACTCAAGGGGGGTGGATCTTCTTCTCGTGTTATTTTGAAGAAATCAGAATGTGTTGTTCTACTAAACTCTCTTCGTACATGCTTAAGACTACCAAATTTTCGCGGAAAACATGAAATCCGGACTTTTTGCCTGCAAAATGCACTCTTGGTTTTCTGCACTGCCTCAAGCTCATCCAAACTGGACACCATTCGAGCAAGTGAAGATGGCCCGGGGCCATTAGAGCTGTTAGTGATTGATGAAGCAGCACAGCTCAAAGAATGTGAGTCCACTATCCCATTACAGCTATCTGGTCTTCGCCATGCTATACTCATTGGGGATGAGAAGCAATTGCCAGCGATGGTTCAGAGCAAGCTTTGCGAGAAGGCTGACTTCGGGAGGAGCTTGTTTGAGAGGCTGGTTAAGTTGGGACGCAAGAAACACCTGCTTAACATTCAATACAGAATGCATCCCTCTATCAGCTTCTTCCCCAACAGGATGTTTTACCAGAAGAAGGTGATGAATGGGCCTAATGTCACAAAGGAAGGATACGAAAAGCGGTTTCTTAAAGGAGAAATGTTTGGGCCTTTTTCCTTCATTGACATAAGAGGCGGAGGCGAAGACCGTGATGACACTTGTAGTACTAAAAACATGGCAGAGGTTTTTGCAGTTGCTGAAATTGTCGCTATGCTCTTCAGAGGTTGCATTCTTTCTTTAACTGGTTTTTCATCTTCACCGTTTTTTTTCTTTTTGGAAAGATAATGATTATCCCTAGTTCAATGGTACTGTTAGAGTGTCAAACCTCAAAACAAAGAGTTCGCATTGGGTGCATATCGCCGTACAAGGCTCAGGTTTTTGCCATCCAACAGAAGCTTGGGAAGAAGTACAGCACAGACGTTGAGAGCCACTTCTCTGTGAATGTGAGATCCGTAGATGGCTTTCAAGGTGGAGAAGAAGACGTTATCATCATCTCCACTGTACGGTCTAATGGTAGCGGATCAGTGGGCTTCTTGTCCAACTTCCAGCGCACTAATGTGGCTCTCACGCGAGCAAGGTACCAAGATTTTTCGACCTCAGATCACAATGTGTGTTTTTTTTAAAGTTTTAAATAATGTGCCTTACTAACTTCAAGATTCTGTTTTTGTTGATCTTTATGTAGATATTGCCTTTGGGTATTAGGGAATAGTGCTACATTGATCAATAGCGGTTCTGTTTGGAGGGACCTTGTTTTGGATTCTCAGGCTCGGGGCTGCTACTATGACGCCTGCACTGTCAAGAATTTGGCAAGGGCAATTGCAGATGCATCATCTGATGATTTAACAAGAAAGTTTTCATCAATGAATCTCAGCAATAGTTATATTCCTGCAGGGTAATCTTTTTCCTAAATTTGAGGTTCAACAAAAAAAAAAAATTCTTTTTAATCTTGAGGCAGTCTGTGAGTGTTTCTTGATCAAACGATATATAACTATGCCTTTCAGGAATAGGAAGGTTTTCTAGAATAACAAGGCCTGGTTTTCTAAAGAACATGGAAGCGGCTCAGAATAGCATCAATAAAACTGACGAACGAGTTGAATTTGAAGAATGAAGATTTGCTGAAGCTGTGGTCACTATCATCAGGGTGCAATCATGTACTATTTACTTGCCATCAACTTGTTGCTGAAAAAAGAAACATTGCTCTAATTTTGTTCTTTAATGCTAATTTTGTTGTTTAACATATGTATATCATCAATGTACTGGAAGTACTAGTCATTAACATCAAGCTATGCAAGTTTCTCTCATTATGTGAAGAAGAATATGCTGGTCCATAGAAAGTGAATTGAAGGCCTGTCATTCAAATTGTATTTTCCTGTCTTAATTTAAAGTTATGCCTGAAGAATCTGAATGAAATACCAAATTTGACTAATAAATCTGGAATCTAATAACCACATAGTGTTTGTGAAAATGCATGTATGAGCTTTGATTTGTGCTGCCTGATTGGAGTACCTGGTTTTGCTTCTCTTGCATTGTTTGTCTTGATTACCTTCTCAAATGTCTAGCTGCCAACAAACTTTGTTCCTCCCATTAATACTTTTTTTTTTGAAAAAAATCATATGACAACATTTTCCTAGAAGGCAAATTCTTCTATAGTCCTAAGCTCCACATTCATTTTATAGACTTTATATAGATTCTATAGATGAATTGAAGTCTTTGAAAAAATAAAAGGTTTCCATGTCAGCCCAATTACAAGTGTGAGAAGATCTTTGTTTCACATGTAGATCTTAGGATCATAGAAGCACAACTTTTGCTAGAATTTGAAATTTTACATAAATACGGAGTAGTTCAATATTACGACTTTGTTTTTTAGATGAGAAAAATAGAGTTGGAGATGGAAAAATTGGAAGAAATTGAAAAAAAAATAAGAGTTCGAAGATACTACATGCAATTGAAAAATGATGTAAAGAGCTAGAAAAAACTTATAAAGTTTGAAGAAATTGGCAAGGGTTTAAAAAAAATTGGAGATAGAATAACTCAATTTTTTTTGGAAGGAATTAAAAAAACATGGAATTATAGAGGTTGAAATAAATATAGATGTTGAAATAAATATTGCTTCGTACATTGTAAAATTTCATATTTTAAAATAGAGGTTGAAATAAATATTATTCCCAACTTCAAACACTTTGACATTTCATATGTTAAAATACACCATTTGAAAAAAAATACATGCAACCTAGTTTTTAAATATAGGGATAACTCTCCACGTAAAAGTTAAAAAAAATGAAAAATACTAAAATAGATTTTTTAAGTCTATTAAGAGCAAAATAAGAGTTCACACTTGTATTGTTATACTACCACATTCATCACATTATCAGACTGTAACCGTCACACTATCACTGACACACTGTCATCCGTCATTGTCAGCTCCTAAAGTGCCGCCGCTGGTCACTTACGTTGACCGGCGATTCACTGACGGTTGACTAACCACATTGCCATATTACATTGTCATCATGTACTTTTCCATCAAATTGACAACAATCTTACATTACAGTGTCATTATACTTCTATTTCGGGTCTTAAAAGACTTAAGGCCATTACTTTCGTATTTTCATTCTTTTTTACTTTTATCCAGAAAGATTTCTTTTGAATATACATACACAATGATGGAGTACTCCCTTCGTTCCTAAATGAATTACATCTCCGTTTGATTTGTAAAATCTTATAACTTTTATAATGATTTTATTTACAAGTTGATATAGATTTTAAAAAAGTATATATTTAAAAACTACATAAAAAGTTCTATAAAATAAGAAGTCATAAGAATATTTTATTTAATCAAATGGTCAATGAAATTATGCAAACAAACAAAAATTATTAGGATATCGTAATAGTAAGGAACGAGTAAAATATATCACGTTTTCTTAAGATACTACTCCCTCCGTCCCAATTTATAGTGCCTGTTTCGGTTTACGATATTTGACAGAAATTATTATCAAATCATTTTATATGACAAATGGTATAAAGTTAAAAAATAAAATTACATATTAAAATACTACATCAAAAGATCTACAAAACTAGTAGTGACAATAGTATTTTATTTTATCAAATTGCTAACGAATATAGAGAAAGAAAGTGAATAAAGTTTGACCCTGTGAATAGTAAACAGAGACAATAAATTGGGACGGAGGAAGTACTTTTTTATCCTAGTAGTTTGGGATATTGGATCTCTTACCACACAAATTGTTGGAATTTTAGTTAGAGAAATAGTAACAGTGTGAAGCAGCGTTATAGAAGATGATATACGAACGCAAAAAAACAAATTTGATAGATTAAACAAATCGTGCCTGAATATGCTTTAAAATTAAATTTATTTCGAGATATACCAAAATAATTCAAATGGATAAGACGTTAGTTTAAGAATGAGTACCGACGCTCGATTATCTCAACATACTTGTGCATCTCTATGAATTTGAAACATCGTTGAACGAGCGTGTATTCCGCATCTCGTAACTCATTTAACGTCTACTCAATTCAAATTTATGTCTGATCTATGTAAATCCAATTACATAAAATAATGGAACACAAAACACAAATAAATAATGGTAAAATACACTCCTGTGAACTAGTGCCTCTAATTTGAGTTATTTGACAATTGACACAACTTTATTTTCTTGGGTAAAAATTTCAGAGTTCGATGTTGGAAGAAACTAGATAAGTTTTGAAAAAATTGGAAGGAGTTAGGAAAATTTGAAGGAGTTGGAAAAATGTTGTAAAAATTAAAGTATTAAAAAGTTACTATTGTATAAAAAAGAATATAATTTTGTCTGTGTTTGTGATGATATGTTATAAATTTAGATATATAATGTTATTGTATATTTATCATATATAAATATCTTTTTAAGTCGTTCGAAAAAACTAGAATAAAATGGACGAAAGATTAGAAGAAGTTGGAAAACGTCGAAAGTTAGTTTTTGCAACACAAAAAAGCCTACAAATTACCAAGAAGAATTCTTAGAGTGTTCACTCGGTAAAACCGTGCCGAACCAAAATTTTGATAAATCGAAAATTCGATTAAAAAAAATTTTGTACTGAATACTGAAACATAATAAATCAGTTCAATAACGTCAACACCAAAAATATTTCTGTTTGGTAATTGGTAATACCAAAAAATCAAACATTTTATTTTATTTTCATCTATAGTTCATTTTTTTATTTTCAATTTGTATCACTAGCCATCTCATTCAAAATTTAGAGAAATTAGAAATACACATTACTTTTTAGCTATAGTCAGTCATAAATTACTTAGTAATTCATACTACCTCCGTCCCACTCTCTTTGTCCACATTTGACTTTTGGAACTGTTCATTTAAGCACTTTGACTCATCAAATTTTCTCAATGTGTAAGCCTAAATATAGTCATGTGTGATCTTGTTTGATTTGTCTTAACATATAGATTATTAATATATAATTTCTATAATTTTTTAATATACAAATTACAAGATAAAATGGATTAAAGAAGTGCATTGGATGGTGTGCCAAAAGGTAAGTGGACAAAGAGAGTGGGACGGAGGGAGTATTATTAAAAGACCATCGAGGCACACAAAATCGATCTTGTAAAAAAAATTGCAATATAAAAAAACAAAATACATAAAGTTAAAATGAAAAACTAACAATGCAATATAAAGAGTTCTTAAATATTAATTTGGCAAAACTCCGTGTGTGTGTGTGTGTGTATGTATATATATATATATATATATATATATATATATATATATATATATATATATATATATATATATATATATATATATATATATATAGGGGGCGGTTCAGGTGAGAATGCACCTTGGTGAAAAAAATAAGAATAAAATCTAGCTTTTGGATCTCATGCATCGTGCGGCTCAGATTGCATCCTGCACTCAGATTTTGAGGTAGTGCATATTTAAAGGATTTTGGTGCATTTCGACATGATGCATTTTCAATTCATTTTGGTGCACGTAATTTTGATGCAATCCTGACCCTTAGATCTCACAATCTAAAGCACCAGATTCATTCTTATTTCTTTCATAAGATTGCATTCTCACCTGATCCAAAATCTATATGTGTGTGTGTGTGTGTATGTATGTATGTATATGTATATATACTCCGTATATATATTGCAAAAAGTATTCTATCAAAATGTTTAAAAAGGTCTTACCTTCAGTTATGGGTAATTTATCGCCCTACGAAGTAAGGTCAATAGATCAATCATTTAAGTAAGTGAGCGTGAGAAAATTTAGCTAGATATGAAGAATTTTGTTTAGAAATTAGAACCGTGAATAATAAGAATGAAAAGATAAGGTAGACAGACCATTATATGAGTGGCTAGGACTCAAGGTTAAAATTCAAACATCAAAACATTTAAAATAATAATATGGAGTAATAATTCGATATTCGGTAAAAATCGAATTACCAAGTTATTAAGTAAAATTGAACGGAAAAACAATTTTAAGAAAAAGTAAAAACTGAATACCGAATCAAATTATTTGATTTGGTCTCAATACGTACCCAAATTTCGATTTCGGTACGGTTAAGTCGGTTTACTGAATTGTGGAGAACCCCTAAAAATTCTTGAATTAGCAAACCAAATTCATTTTTTGGCAAACTTGTTAAAATAAAGCATGCCCTTTGGAGAATAACAAAAATGTTTAACTAGTTATATTATAACTTTTAGCAAGTTAAAATGATATGATGAGTAGAGGAAACATGCTGTTGGGAATTGGGATTACCTTCGGGCAAAATACTCCACCTAACCGGAGACAGAGCTCTCAAGAGAATTCAAGAATGGGGAATCCGAAAAGGGTCCTCTTATTATGCGGCGATTATGTTGAAGACCACCATGTTTGTACTCTAGACACATCAAACCGAACCACTGCAAAATGTCATCCATTTTTCCTTTTAGAAAAATATATAATAGTAATACAGAGTAAAAGTGAAGTGATTCGTTGCAGGTGATGGTTCCATTTCAAGCACTGCTCGCTTACGGAGTGGCCGTCGACGCCGTTTGCCCCGGTAAGAAATCCGGCGATATTTGCCCAACTGCTATTCATCAGCTTGGTGGTCACCAGGTATGCCTTTTGTTTCGATTAATACTTCGATTGGATAAAAAACCATAACCAGAAAACCTAATTTAGATGGTAGTAGTTCGAAATGAATGCGAGATTGTTTGATAAATTTACATTTTAACTGGCTATTATACATAAATTAACATAAATTATACTTAAGGAGATAGTAATTGAAATGGTGGAATCTTTACACTGTATGAAGAAACATTCAAATTATTCTTCTGATTCTTAGCTACTTGGTCCGCCTCATAACATTTTTTTACTCCCCATTTTAGTAAGGTACGACTCTCTCGGAAGTAATCAAATATAGCTATAGTTTTAGAAAAAACCTTTATGAATATACCATCATGCCTTTATGCAAATATTTCTTACTTTTGTTGTGTGAATGTGTGTGGCATCTGTAGACAGAGGATAAGATGCCATCATGCCTTTAAATACAACTCTCATTTTTTTTTGGAAAAGAGGTAAGAATTTAAACATAATTCATTTTCCAATGAAGGGAGTATTTAGAAGTAGTTTTGCATAAGCACAATTGTTTCCCACTACGGGCTTGTTACCAATCCAATATTGAAAGATTGAAGAGACATAATTCAAATGATAAAGGTTTGAAATTAGAATAGCTAAGTGGCTGGATTCTTATTTTCTTATTGTGTTTTATCCCATGTGCCTAATAACGTTGGGGTACATACAAACCTTTATACTTTTTAACCAATATAAATGTGCAATTTCTTTCTCTCCAGTTTTGTTTTTCATTGTGTTATTTTTAATTGAATAAGCTGCAGTAGTGCAGTCCTTAGAAGGAACGTTTCCCTTCAGAAACTTACAGGATGTTAAAAGTTCTCAGTGTTCTAGTAGTTATAGGGAATCTACCTCTTAGACTAATCTCATAGGGACAAGGAAACACATGAGATAAATATTTAATAGCAATATTTTCTAGACTCTACTATTGAGTAAGGGTAAGGTCTGCAACTCTGCGTAGACCCTACTCTCGTGGGATTCTACTGCTTTGTTGTTGTTGTTGTTGTTGTCTACTTTTGAGTGAGATATACTTGGCTTTCTTGGGGTTTGGTGATAGCAAATTTTATAGACGATACTAATCATGCTTTATTATTAATGACCCTAGACATATTCTGAGTCTCGGGGTCACAACTTCACCCTCAATGCAACATTTGATGAAATAGAAGTGTCAAAGTATGATGGGCTGGTCATCCCAGGAGGACGTGCACCAGAATATCTGGCTCATAACGAATCAGTTTTGGATTTGGTTAAACAATTTGTCAGCTCTAATAAACAAATTGCGTCTATCGGCCATGGGCAATTGGTCTTGGCTGCTGCAGATGTAGTTAGAGGCCTAAAGTGCACAGCTTGTCCTCCTGTTAAACATATTCTTATAGCTGCTGGTGCACATTGGATAGAGCCAGAGACAATGGCTTTATGCATCGTTGATGGGAATCTAATTACGGGGGCAACTTCTGAAGGGCATCCTGAGTTCATCAGGCTTTTTGTCAAGGCACTTGGAGGCAAAATATTTGGTTCTGGCAAAAGAATTCTATTTCTCTGTGGGGTGAGTTACAGCCATTTTGTTTTATCAAGGACAAAAAGAAAAGAAAAGTAAAGATTATGTTTAAGGTTCTTCTTCTAACTTTCGATTTTGGCTTCTTTTAGGATTTCATGGAAGACTATGAGGTAGCAGTACCGCTCCAGTCCCTCCAAGCACTTGAGTGCCATGTTGATGCAGTTTGTCCAAGGAAAAAAGCAGGTGAGAAATGTCCTACCGCTGTTCATGATTTTGAAGGTGGCGAACAAACATACAGCGAGAAGCCTGGCCATGACTTCACCCTAAATGCTTCTTTCGACCAAATCAGTGCGTCTATGTATGATGGGCTTGTCATTCCTGGTGGCAGAGCTCCTGAATACTTGGCACTAGACAGCCGGGTTCTCAGATTGGTAAAAGAGTTTATGGAGTCTAACAAACCAGTTGCATCAATTTGTCATGGACAACAGATAATGTCTGCCGCAGGTGTTCTCAAGGTAACATGCTTCACATGAATTTCTTTGTCGCTAAGAATTGTCGTCTTTCCTTATCCTGCTCAGATCCTGGAATATGAACTGGAATATGTAATGCAGGGAAAGAAGTGCACTGCATACCCTGCTGTAAAGCTGAATGTGGTTCTGGGAGGGGGAACATGGTTGGAACCTGAACCACTAGATCAATGCTTTACAGATGGAAATCTGGTCACTGGGGCTGCTTGGCCAGGTCACCCGGAGTTTGTTTCTCAGTTCATGGCATTGCTTGGAGTGCGTGTTGCCTTCTGAACTCGGATGAAGGCGGCTTGTGGTGTGTTTTATTTGAACCCTACATTTCTTTTTTTCAGTGTTCAATTATATTGCTGTAAGTCATACAGTTTGAAGAGAAAAACAATAAATATATTTATTAATTAATCCTCTTATTCAGAATAAAACATAAACAACGAATGCTTCTGATGAATAACTCTTCTTAGGTACTACTGTATATTTGAGTACAGGAGTACTCCTCTTTGGTACTCAGGATAAAACCCTACTTCCTGTACTATTTGGATTTAATTATTCGGGCTTTATGAAGATTCATTTTCCATAGACCTAAGAACAACATGTTTCTCAAATCAGTTGATCGTGTATGCATGCTCGTCTGCCACTTTATCAAAGCAAAAGTGTCGTTTTGGAAGTCCTTGATGGTCCATCCGCGACAAACACCTCGGTACGTTTTCAGACGTTGTTCAATGACTTCAATCTTTGCATCAATCAAGCATAAAACAAGTCGTGTAGTTAGTTACGGTAAGGATTAACGCAACTAATATATAATGCATGCATGTGAACTTGAGCTGGATTGTAGATATGGCAAGATATCATAAAAATGGCTTCACAAATGGCAATTGTTTATAGCACAATTTACATTTCATCTTGTTTAAACTTGAACAGCAGCCCGAACATGTCTAGTAACATTAAATGTTTGGCGGTCCAAGTAGCCTTCTCATTTTCAGGGCTGCTTCCTGAGATTCTCTCTGCAACACTTCTGAAAACCAAAATTTCATTCTGTCCCAAACACTTGCACAATGTTTGGTTCAAGGAATTTTGAAGGAAAAGAAAAAAAAAACGATTTTCTTTCATCTTCCTCACCAAAATGGAAGGAATTTTAGTTTCTTCCCTCTAGGTCATTTTGCCTTCTCATTTTTTTTCCTTCCACTTTTCCTTTCTAACCAAACAAAAAAATTATGTTTCCTACTTCATTTTCTTTTTTTTTTTCCTTTCAAATTTCTTGAACCAAACACAGTGTTGAAATTTATATAGAACGTTTTGTTCCATTTAATCCATTTATATGGAAAATGCTACTTTAATCTCAAGGATGAAACCATCAAGATAATTTTCTTTAAAAAAAACTGCCTGTAAGATATTGGCTATGAGGCCATAGATATCAGAGATCATAAGAATGGCTTTCTTGGGACCTGGAGTGCCGGTGACATGGCCTTTGAGGCCACACGTAACACGGAGGCAGAACCCCTGGAGGGACGCGGGGGGGCTGGGAAAGACAATTCGTTAGCTAATTAAACAACAAAATTATCTTCATGGTCGAAAAACAGTATCGGCCATGTGGGCCCATCTTCAACTTCGGTATAAATTTTTTATTTTATTTATTTATCTCGCACTCATAATTTTCAGTTGAAGGAACAAGTACCTAAAGTTAAAAAAAAGGAACATGCTCGATGCAAAATACCTTTATGTTCTTATTAAAATTGTTGCTCCTTTGGTACGGTCACTTTAACTGAAGTTAAATCTTGGTTACTACAAGGAGGAAGAATTAAACTTATATATGGAACAAAGACTGTCTACACGAAACCCCCACCAAAAAAAGTTCACAGGGCTCCTCAAACAGAGATTCTATCATCTCTCAAATTTGCAGAAAGTTTAATATGAATTGTTGAGATTTATTTTCACCCCAATAATCATTTGCCTCTAGTAAGCAGTTTAAAGTAAATGAACACAAGTTGAAGTTTGCGTGCCCTGAAACATTATCCATTTCCCTCAAAATGCTCTAGTTTGCAATTTCGTTTTGCTTTCCTTCTATTAACAAAGTGACAAGAAATACTAGCCTCTCTGTCCATTTTGAATTTTCTTATTTGACTATTCATGGTCCTCAATGCAACACTTTAATCGTCAATATCTTTATTTGTAGATAGATTTATACTATAAAAATGTAACTTTTCAAAATTATGTTTCAAAATGAATTTATTGATATGAAATTTATATCATAAACCAATGTTTTTTTCCCGTAATTTATAGTTAAAGTTTTAAAAAATTGATCTTGAAATCCAAGCTGAAAAGATTCGAAAGGGATGGAGGGAGTCTAGAATATCTTTTAAACCAATTTCTACCTTCAAAAAATAGCTAGCGGTCATCAAAACATCGATGTCTAGAAGTCTACATCGATGTTGGAGTGATTGACTTTCAAAAACAGAAAGACTTTGTCATAAATAGCCCAACGGTCATTTGAAAACATCGCTGTTCACAATTGAACATCGTTGTTCAAAAACCTATTGCCAAGAACTCTGAATGCCAACATCGCTGTTGAGAACTCCGACATCCCTATTGGGCTGGTTCGCCGGAACCATGGTTTGGCAGCCAACGCTGAAAACCGATGTCAAAAACCAAAGTTCTCCAAAATAAAAACCAAGTGTTGGAAACTCTTATATAACGTATTTTATGTAGGAACCAAGTAAAAAACTTAAAAACTACGTCATTAAGGTAAAAACCACGGCTAGCCAAGTTTATGTCGTTTCACATGATTTTCACCAAAAGTCCAAAAACAAAAGGTGTTTTTTAAAAAGTTTTTGTTGGAGAACTATTTGGATATGCCCAGAAATAAAAACCAATCATAAAATCTTAAAAACCACTCGATTGATTTGGACGCCAAAAATCAACGCTGATAACCAGCGCCGAATGCCGATAACCAACGCTGGAAAACAAAGGTTATGGTTTTTGAAAACTAATCATTTGGAAAACCTTTAAATGTGTTTAGAAGCAAAAACCAAAGATAGAAACCCAAAAACATTTGGCTAAAATCAATGCCAATAACAAATGCCAAAAACCGAACGCCATAGCCGAACGCCGATAACCGATGGTTATGGTTTTGGTTGGGCAAGAACCAGAGGTTTTAGAAACTTCAAAAAAATTTATGAAAACACTCATTCGATGCATGAAAAGCATATTTTGATTTGAGCCATGACGTAGAGAAATTGAATGAGCTTGTTACAATCAAAACCTAAGTCTTTAGAAAACGTCTTCAAAACGCCAATGTCGACATGTTTAGAAATGTCAATGCCTTTCTTGTACTTTTTGTTCCTTCAAAAAACTTTTGCTTTCTCTTTGAATCTTTTCATTTTGTTCCATGTTTCCGACGGTTTGTTAATATCAAAACCTAAACGGAAACAAACATTGTCATTAGCAAAACGTCAAAGTAAAAATATTTTCCAACAGATGTTTGATCCTTTTCTAAAAATAACCCCCACTAAGATTTATTAGGAAATGTTTAGAAAAAGTATTTTAAGTGCAAGAGCATATTGAAATCATTATAAATATCAAAATCCTTAAATTTCGATTTCTACACTCGTAAGAATACTTCTCAGTGATGCTAATCAAGTTAGGAGAGGTTGGGTGTTTGGTTCTTCCTTCAAATAATGTTAGTACCTTTGGAAGACTTATTTGGCACATCAAAACATATACGGAATACGACATTCATGGCCAACACTTTATAAAAGGGGAGTTTTCATATTTAGTCTTCTATTATCAAATATTATCTCCACAGTCCTTTTATGGGTGCCCTTCCACAAATTAAATGATTCTTTTTTTATCTTTGGCCATGTTGGCTTAAATTTAAATGCTAAAAGTATACTTTGACATCAGCCTTATGTCCAGTAACGCATTCTGATATAGGTTAGACGGATAACAGAAAAATAATGACTATGATTGTGCGATAGGCTAAATCGAAAAACCACATCTGTACACTATAGTTGTAGTAGAGAGTCACTGAAATTCACAAATGATGCATGAGGAGCTCCCTTTGGAATTGTATATGACAAGAAAAGTGTATTATAATTGTGAAATTACACTTTTATTCCTCAAATTAACACTAACATGGTAGAAGATAAAAAAACAAGTTGTGGAAAGATACTTATGAAAAAGGACCACTGAGGTAATATTTAATAATAGAGAACTAAAAAAGGAAACCTCCCTTTTATAAAGGACTAGTTATGATATTTGCTCTTAAATTAAATTTTGAAAATTCTTAACAAGATAAATTTAATGAAATTATTTTATTACTAATATATTCTACAATTTTATTTTATTTAATTGAAATTCAAAATTCATCGAATTTGATTAAAAAAAGTCAAACTAAACAAATACACCAAAAATAGTACCGAGTAAGTTAATAGTACTCCCTCCTTAAATTTAATCTCTCAGTTTGACTTTTGTAGTTAAACTTTTTAAACTTTGACCCCCTATTAAAAAAAATACAATGAATTTTCATATAAACATTTTATTAATCTATTCATTTTCAAATATAGTTTTGAAATATATTACTTTTATGATATGTGTATATATAAAAATAGAGAAATTAATGGTCAAAATGTTGCATTAGACCGTGAAAAATCGAATTAAATTAGTTTCGAGGTGGAGGGAATATGTTTTTTTCCATTCATGAATATCACATTGGTAATACCAATTAAGCTATTTGTAGCCCAAAAATTATACCCAACTTTATACCTCAAAGGCATGTGACAACATTTCATGCTCGTGTAATGCTAGTGTAACTGTTTACAATAACACAAAATGTCGTGCAATTTTTTTAACATACTAGCATAAACCGTAAAAAATTTGATGCACTTCTTTAGAATACAACTTAGAGCCTGTTCTTTAGTGCTTGAACTCTTAACTTCTAGTTTCTTCCAGTTCTTTCCAGTTCCTTCCAGTTTCTTCCAGTTTTTTCCAGTTTTTTCCAGTTCTTTCCAGTTTTTTCCAGTTCAAACTCTTTCTACTCCCCAACCAAGTACTCTAATTAAAAATGATATATTTTTAATGTGGTTATTATTATTATTATTATTACTATTATTATTATTACTATTATTATTATTATTATTATTATTATTGTTATTACAACTGCTATGTTCATAACTATAGCTTATAACTTATTTTTTCATTTCACTATTTTTACGATTCACACTCATTAATTTTTTCTTCAACTTTTTAATATGAATAAGACAATTTTCTGTATATTAATCTACATGATAAAACAAAAAAACATCAATATGTTAAACTATATTAAAAAAATTATGGATAAAATAGTGACATAGAATTTTTTATTAATCTAACTTTATATAAGACCTCTCACCTTTCTCTTTATTACTTAAAAATTTGCTCATTTTTCTAATCTTTATAACAAAATTTTGTGCCAAAATAGTTTAGAGAAAAAAACTAAAATAAGAGTAAGACATAAACATGTAAAAAAGTTCTATGTCTTTATTCCAAAAATAGGACTTCAATGAAAATAAAATTTCAATCATGAAAGAAAAAAATAGGTTTGAATAAATTATATGACATGTCTGATCTTTAAAACAAAATCTTATAATATATAAAGTATAATGACAAATATATTTTTTATAATGAATACTGCATAAATAAATTCAGGTGCAACGTAACCATAAAAACTTATTAAAATTTTATATTTTTATATTTATGTTAACTTTATATTATAATTATTTTTTTGCAAAAGTAGTTTTTTTGTATTTGAAAAATAACAATATTTTTTTTGTATCTTAAAAGTATTCGTTAAGATA